TTGATACGTGAAATATTAGCATGGCCGGACGAGTCAGAGTCAAACGAAACGGCACACTGAGAGTAGTGTTGCCCCCACCCCTGCTACTCCATTTCCATTCTCTCATTCTTTCCGTCTCCTTTACTTTGAACATAAGAAATTTCATTTGTTCCTGGTTCACTCTTCCTGTACTTCTTATTTCACAGCTGAACAGATATAGTATGTTTTCTTATATCCCTTTATTTCTTGTATAAAGGATTTCATACCATGGGCATTCTTTTGTACATTTTTTACCACTTATATATATCCTGGATGTCACTTCATGTTAGTTTATAGAGCTTATCCTCATTCTTTTCTTGGCAGCTCATTCTTTTCATAACACTGCATTGTGCGAGTGTACCATAGTTTATTCAACCTCTCTCCCATGTATTGTTTACAATTATTTCGTAAAAACAAGCAATGCTGCTATGAATAACCTCATGCATGTGTATTTTTGCATTGTTGGAGGTGTATCTTCAGGATGAATTTCTAGGGGAGGGATTACTTGGTCAAATGGAAAGTGTTTACATAGTTTTGTTGGATATTGCCAAAGGTCCTCCCAGAATGGTCGTACCAGTTTGCATTCACACCAGCAATATTTTAGAGTGCCTGTTTCTACACAGCCTTGCCAAAAGACTGTGTTGCCTTCTTTCTAATTTTTGCCAATCTAAGTGTTTAATTTATATGTATTTAATATTGAATGAATTTGAACATCTTTTTTACAGATCTATTTAAGGGTCATTTTCATGTCACATTTTTTGTGAATTATCTGTTCCTGCCTTTTTGTCATTTTTCTCAACCTTGGGGCTTTTAAATTTCTCTCATTTTAAAGTTTTCTTAAAATACTTAATTCAAATTTAGTCCTTGTTTTCATTTTGTTCTTTTATAATCATTTTATTAAAACTTAGAAAAATATGTGGCATTTGCATACCACACTCACTACTGGGAAGGGAAATACCTAGAGCTATCTTCTAAAGGTGATAATGTTTGATACAAACATTTAAAAGAACATTTTAAAGTTTCTTCCTTCTTTCTAAAAAAATAATAAAAATAAATTTGTTTTATCCTCATCCAAAAACACTGAATGTTCTTCCCATGAGGCTGTTTGCTAGGACTCAGAGGACCATCTATAAAAGTAGACCTGGTTAATTTACAATTAGCTGTGATGAAGCCTGTGGAGATTTAGACATGTTTGAACCAACGCTGATGCATTTTCAGTTGTGTGGAGAAACACTCAAGATGTTGTTCTGTTTCATATGCTGCTCTCTTTTTGTCCTCAGGAACTACCAAACTAGCCAGGTGTCACTAAGCAATGCAATCAAGAAAGAAACCAGCTAACTCAAGAAATAGAAAAATTACAAAGTAATAGGGGACAGTGGAAGTTATCTGCTTGCTTTTGAAACTGTTCTATGAGGGGAATAATGTAAGAAAGCAAATAGTACAATCACATTGCCTGAGTATCTGGAGGCATTGTGTTTTCGATTTTAGTATTTTTCTTTTGTGCTTTTTAAAACATGTCCTGAAATCAACTTACTTCATTAAAATAATAAGAACTAAAAAGAAAAAACCAAAAAATGAAAAAAAAAACCAAAAGCAAAACAAACAAGCAAAAAACACCTACAGAAAAAAGAAATCTGAAGTGGAAATGTATTACACCTCAGTGTCTAGCACACTGTAAGTGAATCAAGCATAAAATAAGTATTTAATTTAACAAGGCAATAAAAAGTAGCTTCTGTGAGCCTAGCATTGAGCTTGGTGCTAAAGAAATAAATATAAAGAGAGGGTTCCAGTTCTCAAGGAGATCACAACACACCAATGGCAATGCCATCTGTATGTACTAAGTGTTCTGATGGAGTGGGGACTCTAAAGCTGAGGGGCAAAGGCAGGAGCAGGGACTGTGGAATGAGCCCGAGAAGGATTTGAATTTCACAATTCACTCAAAGTCTCTGAGCATCCATTTCCTCATCAACTCAAGATAATAATTCCTACCTAATAGGGCTGTTGTAGGATTAAGTGGACAATGTGAGTCTACTAGTGCAGTGCCTGACATAGAGTAGAATCTCTGTGACTACAAGCTCATACAATTGCCAATAAACGTTTGTGGAAATCATCAAAAGCAGCTCCTTACTGGGTGCGCAGGGTACAGCTTAGTGTTAGAGTGCATGCTTAGCAGGCACGAGGTCCTGGATTCAATCCTCTGTTAAAATAAATAAATAAATACCTAATTACCCCCAACACACACACACACACACAGTTCCTTGCTACATTTTTGTACATAATTAGCCACTCTCCCTTATATTTATCTGATTTTTTTAATGTTCATTAAACTCATCCCCAAGCTTTATCTCATTTAATGCTCTCAATAAGCATGAGAGGTGGATAGGTCAGAAACTATTTCCATTTTACAGATTAGTAAATGGAAATTTAAATGAATAGTTAAATGACTAGTTAAATGACTAGGCTGTTCAATGACTAGTTCAAGATCACACAGTTTAGGAAACTAGAATTTGAGCAAAGATATTCTCATTCCAGATCAGATCAATGTTCCGTGACTCTGCAGTGCCTCTCATGATGAAGAGAAATTAGGACTAACCTAACAAAATGTACTTCATAATAATCTTTACTGGGGTACACTATAAGGGCTTGCCCCTAACACGTGTCAAGGGTCTGGCAAGTCAGCACTCACAGAGGGATACAGGCTCCAGGTAAATTTGAAGAGAAAAACCAACTTGGATGCAGAAAGATTGGAGAGGACTTCTGTGATATTGTGGTTTATAATAGGAAATACATATTTGGTCTTCATTCCTGTTCATAGCACAGAGCTTCTAAAATCTTTGGAAATTCTTAAGAGGTAAGACTCATAAAGATGTCTTATTATTCATAGCAAGCCCCTCTCAACTACAGAGGAGTTTATGCTAATGAAGTGACTTTTGGAAAGCCTTGAGGACTGGGGCTGGTTGCCAGGGAACCAACCTGTGATTAGAGGTTTAGAGCTTTTAGCCCTACCTCCTAGTCTTCCAGGAAAGGGAAAGGAGTCAGAGATTGAGTTCAGTCACCAATGGCCAAGGAGTCAATCAATCATGTCTATGTAATGAAGCCTCCATGAAAACCCTAAAGGACAGGGTTCAGAGAGCTTTTGTGTTGGTGTGCTGGGAGGGTGGCATATCCCAAACTCCACAGGCTCTGAACCTCACCTTCAGTATCTGTCATCTGGCTGTTCATTTGTATCCTTCAATATCCTTTATAATATATCAATCATCCAGTAAGTAAACTTTTCCTGAGCTCTGTCAGCCACTTCAACAAATTAATCAAACCAGAGGAAGGGGTCATGGGAACCTCTGATCTAGTTGGTCAGAAGCACAGGTGATAACCTGGACTTACAATTGGCATCTGAAGTAGGGGAGGGAGAGCAGTTTTGTGGCACTGAGCACTTCGCTTGTGGAATCTGACACTATCTCCTATACACAGTTGTCGGAATTGAGCTAAACTGTAGAACCACGTATGGTTGGACCCCCCCCCCAACATGGCAGTTCTCTTCTCTCTGAACATCTCTTGCTCAACCAGCCTCTGCTTCACCTACACCCAACTCACATGACTGATCTTTCCTCTTAATCACATGCCTAATCAAATTCCTAAATTCCTATGTAATTGCCCCTGGCCCCAGCTAGAAAGTGTTCTAAGATTTGGATCAGAACACCTCCACCACCATGATAGCTTTTCAAAGAGGTGGTGAGGGATATGCTCCTCTGCTGGTTTCCTTGGTAACCAATGAGCCAACCTGGGGGCTAAGACTATTGCTATGTCCTGCCCACCACCCACTGCACATGGTGGGGCATCACTCCAAGACCTTTTTTCAGACATGTAAGCTCCCCCATCCACTAAACTATTGATGTCTCTGTCACTAGCTCCGGGATCTTCTTTTTGATCTAGAGGCTAGGCAAGCACAGGGCTTGCAAGCCTATGGGGTGCAGCCCAATGGACCCCCAGCAGGTGTTGCAGAATTGCTTAGTGTGCAAAAAGCTGCCACACGTTCAGTGATCACAAGTGAAGTAGAGTGTTCTGAGAGTAGACAGAAAACAGGAGAGTTTTTTTCTTTACAATCAGAAACAAGTCCATAAAAAAGGAAACATTAAAAAAAGGAGAAAGAGGGAGAAAGGTGTGTGTGCACAGAAACTTAGGATGGTGCAGTTTTAGAGAGTCTGTTTCCCTTATTTGCTACTTCTGGCTGTTGGTTAAAAAAAATACACAATGTGGGAGTTGAGAGTTAAGTTTTACTTGGGGCCAAATGAGGGCTATCGCCAGGGAGACAGCCTCTCAGATAGCTCTGAGGAAGTGCTCGGAAGAAGCAGGTGGGGAGGTCAGTATATGTGTGATTTTAGTGAAGAGGGATATGTGCAGTCAAGCACACATTTTGGCAGAAAGTTTCTGCTAGTCGTAAGGATCAGATGTCTTTGTTAATGATTTTAGTTCTTTTCTAGAAATGAGAAGATGCAAGAAATTGGGCTCATAAAATCTTCTGCAAATATCGAACTATCTGAAGCCCTGTTCTGCCAGTTTCCCCCAGAGCACAGAGTGTCTCATTCCTGATCTCCACCCTGAGCTCCCTTCAAGGTGTGTTGAAGGTCAGCCACTGCAGTAGCTAGAGACTTCATTCTTGTAGAGCCAAATGGCGAGTGACAGGTTGTAGTTGGCATGGCCATAGGTGTCCTCATTTGTTTCCCTGTCTTGTGTGCAGACTAGGCACCTGCTTAAAAACAGTACTTGCAACCGTGTTACATTCCCTGTACTTCTAGGGGAGCATTTTTACCTTTTACCACTTCAGTGAATCTCTTCCCCCAGGGAACGCTGCAGAAATTATGTTCTTCAGGGACTAACAAGCCACTTGATCTAAATCTCCTTACTTGCCTACAAAGCAGAGTGCCTCAAAACAGGCTTCCAAGAGCAACCTCCAGGCTACTGACACTAATTTTTTTTCCTTTCAGATCACAGCTACTGAAGATTCGGTATCCAAAATGCAAGCTGCATCCCCAGTGGTCATTGTGACTCAGCCTACAAGTGGTCCAGTACTTCCAACCTCCAACTGGCAGACGGGCATGTGTGACTGCTTCAGCGACTGCGGGGTCTGTAAGTGCTGGGAAAAGGGCCCCGGTAACTGACATGGAGGCAAATTAACAGAAACCAAATCCTCCCCTCATTCCTCCCTTATCATGTAATAAAAGTTCCTGACCTACTCCTCCAGGGCACCCTGCATGTCAGGCAACGCTTTATTAACAGAAAATGCCTGTACTGAGTATAAGGTAATTCTTCTCCTTCCTTCAAAGAATACTTTTATCCTTAAAAATAAGTGCTGGGTTAAAATAACAGTGTAAAAGCAAATGACTCTAACCATGCACAAGCTTGGCCTAATGATTTTAAGTTGACTGTGCATTATATAGAAGAGATGTTTCAAGCTTAACTTGATTTTTTTTTAAAAAAGGCTACTCTTGTTACATTTAAATTCAACTCCTTATATTATAGTTCCATTGTGTCCAGTACACAAGGGATAATTTTCATCCATGGTTTCAGCATGAGCTCAGAGAAGAACTATTTTAATTTAGGGCTTTTAGGCTTTTTATACACATAAGAACAAAGAATTTTAAAGGCAATTAACTTCTCATTGGGTAAAATATCTCTGACTCTGTTTTTTGTTTTGCTTCATTTCATTTTCTGATGTCTAAGTGACTTTCTGAGAAAAGGAAGTTTGAGGGTGAGATGAAAGTGTCAGAGGTCAAATGCGTGGTTCTCAACACCAAGCAAGAAACAAACAAACCTACCGACCAAAAAAAAGTTTGCTCTGAGATTTTTTTTGCCTGTTTCAAATCTACACCATGTTCTGAGACAGGGAAGAAAATCTTGTTAACCTTTAACTTAGCAGTGAAGTTGAAATTCGGAATCAAGTTAATAATTACATTGCAAAGCATAGAAGGAAAGGGTTACCCGGGAAATGGAACAACTGGGTTTGTTGATTTGCTCTCATTGTCTTACTGGAGACCTGGAGTCATGAATTACACTTCTCAGGACATTAGTTCAACATCTGCAAATCATAGTGATAATGAGACTACAAAACTGAAACCTTCTAAAGAGGAACATTTTAATCCTCCAAACCCTAGTATTGTTCCTCAAGTAAGTGAATTACATGTTCTAATATGAACTTAATAGTTTCATGGCAGGATTCCTTAATTATAGATCTGACCACATCATTCTTTCTTTTTAAGATATTTCAGAGGTTCCTTATGACTTTCATGACCCACTCTGAGGTCTCATACTTCTTCACTGTCCTGTCCCAACCTGCCTTGTCTTCTAGCCTCATCCCCATCCCATCCCTGGGCTCCAGCCATGTTGAATGAAGACCAGTCATTGCCAAGACATGCAGGTTATCTCAAAGAGGCTTTTTTCCCTTTTCTCTACCTGTATAATCCCTAATCTTCCTTCAATATTCAGATCAAGCAATCTTTTCTTCCCACAGCCTAGGAGACCCCATTTCTGTGGGTGACACCTAGGTGTCTTGAGTAGTTCTGCTGGAGAACTTTTCATATTATGTGACTTCCCTACTAGACTTCAGACAGAGGCATTGTCAGCACTGAGGACAATCTTTGGAACATGGCTAGGATTCAGTGAATCATTCAATATGTATTTGAAGGCGTTCCTACAAAAAGAATACAGACTTTCCAAGGTGCTGTCACTCCTAAAATGATTAGATGGGGAGAAGGGAGAAGCTAATGCAATGTTGAACAAAGTAGTGCTGATTAACTTGGCAGCAAGGTATGTGCAAATGCCCAGGATGTGGGCTGCCATTCATGAAGGCAAACTAACTTTCGACTGCGTGGGGGCGGGGGAAGCAGGGGCAGAGTGGAGTCATTTGCGCCTCTGCCTTCATGTGTTCAGGTCTCTGTGGCACGTTTTGCTTCACGTGCCTTGCGATTCAAGTTGCATCTGACATGAACGAATGCTGTCTGTGTGGAACAAGTGTCGCCATGAGGACCCTCTATCGGACTCGATACGGTATCCCGGTGAGTCTCTTACAATACTGTGTCATTCAAATCCGCACCCACAATCAAAATAATTGCTATAAACATGGAGGCCCTTTGATGGTATCCACCATCTGGATTGGATCTGTAGGCGCTTCCTAGCTTGTGCAACCTTGTATTCCATTATTGTAGCAATAGATCCTCTGATTATGTGACTGCTTTCCATGTATCTGTGAAAACCCTAGAGAATAAACGTCTCATATTTGCCATGTATATTATACAATGGGAGAGGATTATTCAGAGCCTACTATGGCTCAGGTACGTTACCTATATTACATCACTTAATCTTTACATCATTCCTATAAAGTAAGTAGGTCCCCACATTTGCCAGATGAGGACTTTAAAGTTTGAGAAGGTCAAGTAACTCAGGCAAAGATACGCACTAGAGTAAAGGGAGTCAGTATTCAACTCCAACTTTCCACGCCTGCATATTCCATTACACCATAAGCTTCACTTTATGTATAGAAGATATTAGTGCTCTCCAGAAACAGAACCAAAAGGAGATATAGATGACATGGATATAGATAAATATAGAGAGAAAGAGATGTCAAGGAATTTGCTCATATTATTGTGGGGGCTAGCAAGTCCAAAAAGCAGGACAGGCTGACAGGCTGGGAAGAGTTGCAGAGTCCAAAGGCAGCCTGCTGGCAGAATTCCTTCGTGCTCAGGGGAGGTCAATATTTTTCTATTAAGGCCTTCAACGAATTAGACGAGGCCCACCCACATTACAGATGGTTACTGTAAGTCTGCCAATGTAAATGTTAATCTCATCTAAAATATTACCTTCACAGAAACATCTAGAATAGTGTTTGCTTGAATATCTGGGCACCATGGCCTAGCTAAGTTGACACATAAAACTAACCACCACAAGGAACAAATGAAATAGAATATTATAGGAACTTATTTTATTCCATTGAAATTATTTTACTTTTTCAGTTAAAAAAAGTATTTCTTAACTGTAAAAAATAATAAACATATAGGTAATTTTATGACAAATTCAAACACAGAAATATATAAAACAAAAAGTGAAAATATGACTCCTTTACACACAATGCCACTACTCAGTGATTAAGCCCTATTAATCATCAGTGTGCATTGCTATCCTTCAGGGTTTTTCTCCTATGCCTATAAGGCATCTGAATATAAATTAGATGTGGCTATACCTACAGATCTAGACACATGGGGTTTGGGGTTTGGGGTCTGCAAGCCTCTTTTATTTGTTTTGTTTTTACTTTTTAAAATGGGTTCATACAAAAGAATATGAAGATGAATATATGTATGTATATGCATGACTGAGACATTGTGCTGCACACCAGAAATTGATACCTTGTAACTGACAGTAATTGAATAAATTTTTTTAAATAGGTTGATATTATACTATAATCTGTTTTCTTTTTTCTACATAATATATGGTAGACCCCTTTTATGTCTGTAATACAGATTTTTTTAATGTCTACATAGTATTCCATCATATAGATAATTTATTTAATCACTTCCTTATTGGTGGAAAGTTAAATAATATTGCATTTTAAATAGTTGTCCATATATGATTTGTACAAGCACTGGTATTTTTGTAGGCTAGTGTACTACATTAGATTGATAGATCACAGGGTATGCACATTCAAAATTTGAAAGATACTGTCAAATACTCCTCCAAAAAGATTATACCAATTTATAATTCATTAACATTATATGTGTGCCAATGTTTTTTTTCCATTTTGTCCATCAGAGAGGCAAAAATGATATTTCTTTCTTGCTTTAACTAAATTTTTATTAGATAGATCAAGCAACTTTTTGAAAATTTACTGTCCTTTTTCACTTCTGTAAATTATCTGTACATACACTTCGTTCATTGTTTTATTGGGTTGTTTGCCTTTTCTTATCGGTTTGTAGGAATGCTTTATTTATTATGTTATGACTATTTAACATGAACGTTAGCAAATTTTTTAAAGGCTTAGTACATGACCAACTTTTTAAAATGCTCCCTGGGAGTTTGAAAAATCAGTAACAGTCTGAAACTAGAACTCTAGTTGATTTTAACAAAATTTGGAAGATTAGAAGAAAGAGGAAGAAGCAAAGATATCCTAAAGACTTTGTTGGTCTGGCATTGATCGGTAAATATAATTTTTTAAAAAAGAATCTTATTGAAGTATAATAGACTACAATAAACTGCATATATTTAAAGTGTACAATTTGATAAGTTTAGATTATGAATGTACCTGTGAAACCAACCTCACAGTCAAAATGATGCACATATTCATCACCCCCAAAATTTCAGTCACACCCCTTTGTAATCCTTCCCTCTTCCTCTTCTCTCTTCCCTAAGTAACTCAATGTGCTTTCTGTCAGTATAGATCAGTTTTCATTGGCTACCATTTTATGTAATAGAACTGTACAGTGCATACTATTTTGTGTAGCTTCTTTCACCCAGTATGCATATTTTGAGATTCATCCAAGTTGTTGTGTTGTGTACAAGTTAACATGTGTTAAGAGGGTTGATCTGATGTTAAGTATTTTTAACACAAAAAAAAAATTAGAAAAAAATAAAATATTTGAATGGTTATTAAGCACATAAAAAGATGTTCAGCATCATTAGTCATTAGAGAAATGCAAATTAAAGCCACAATGAGATACCACTACATGCCTATTGGGATGCTAAAATTAATCAGACTAAACCACACCAGGTGTTAGCAGATATGGAGGAACTGAAAATCTCATGTACTGCTGGTGGGAATGTAAAATCAGTTTCTTAAAAAGTGAAACATATACCTACCATTTGGCCCAGTCATTCTGCTCCTAGATACTTACCCAAGAAAATACATATCCATATCAAGACTTGCAAATGTTCAGAGCAGTTTTGCTTGTAATAGCCAGAACTAAAAACAACCCAAACGTCCCCTAGTGGGCGACTGGATAAACAAATTGTGATATATTCATATAATGGAATACTAGTCAGCAATAACAAGGAATGAAATTAGAAGTTCTAGATTTGCAGATACAAACTAATACACATAAAATAGATAAACAAGTTTATACTGTATAGCACAGGGAACTATTTTCGATATCTTGTAGTAGCTTATGGTGAAAAAGAATATGAAAATGAATACATGTATGTTCCTATATGACTGAAGCATTGTGCTGTACACCAGAAATTGACACATTGTTCTCTGACTATGCTTCGATTAAAAAAAAAAATATATATATATATATATATAAAAATAACAAGGAATAAACCACTGATATACACAACAACTTGGATGAAACTCAAGATAAATATAATGTCAAGTTGTGGGTAAAAATTTAAGGGGAGGTCATTACTAACTGGATAAAAATTAGTTATGGAACATCGAAAACTACTAAAGGGAACAAAAGGAACCAGGAAAGATCTACTCAGCAAAAAAGAAGAAGAAGGAAAAACAGCATCTAGTGAATACCAAACATGAAACAGTCCGGCTGTCTCATGGTGGGAGTGATTTAGATTTCTCAGCTGTACTAAAATGTCTTTACCTTTTATTAATTCTTTTAGTGTGTTTGTGGTGCATCTTAGGGAGTCTGACCTCTTATGAGATAGGTGAATAATTGCCCACTTATCTCGCCCCTCTTCTCTCCGCGGCCCCTAAGCCCGCACTAGGGTCCTCTGTTAAACTGATCTTCAGGCGGTGCCCCGAGGGAAAGCCTCAGCTGACAGCTCTGGGCTGGCCCAGCTGCTCAAGCTGGCTTCAATTAACCTCTGGTCTCTCGTTTCCCAGCCTCTTCTTCCTCTTTTCTGAGCTCTAGGTGTTTGGTTTGCGGTTTATCTAATGCCCTGCCCCTGACTCTGTTAGGTTTCATGTTCCTTAGCTCTGTTTTACTTTCTCCCTCAGTGTAACCCCTCTGCTTCACATTTTTCAAAAATTGCTCAAGATTTCTGGCTCACTGAATTGCCCCGTCCCTGCTTTCTAGTACGGCTTTAATTTTATTTAACAAAGTTCTTCAAGCACATAGTTTTTCAAATTATCTACTTCACAAAGTTTGTTAAGAAAAATTATAGTGCCCACATTTCTCTCCACTACTTCCTCTTCCCTAGAGCTGGTCTTTGGGTGTTTCCCCAAAATCATAGTCTTGTATTGCTATTGCTACTTTCTGACTTTTCATTCTGGGGCTTTGTCTATGTACCTCCCACTGTGGAAGATGAGATTTTAGTTGTCTTCTCCCCTTTCCTCACTACAGACATGCACCTGACCCCTGCCTCACTTCTTCCAATATAGTTACATATAATTGTGGTTAAATCCATATTCAGTATTTATATTAGGGCACTTATGTTTGCTCTTCAGAGTTGAGTCATGTAATGAACTATGACTGCTTTTTCTACCAAATTTTGTTTTTCGTAGTGTTAATAACTCTCAGCTTTTTCATTAGTTTTCCATTTACTTAGCAGTAAGTCAACCCCAAAACCTTTCCCAGTTTTCTAAATCTCTTCCCAGAACATTCAACACATCAGACAGTCTATCAATTTCGTCTTCATGATGACATCACTCCCTGACCTGCTACCCTTGAACTAGTTGCTCTTCCCTCCCGGTGCTTTGCTTGCACCCTGGGATCTCCTTCATCACGGCCTGGAGATGCCATTAACCTCTCTCCCAGGTTAGGCTCCGTTTCTTATATCTCGTATCTTCTTCTTTCTTGGTCTGCTCCTTCATTTTGGGCGTGGTATCTTCCTAGAGGAAGCATGTGGGAGAAAAGAATTTTGAGATTTTACTTCCTAAAACTCTTTATTTTACCTTCATATTGATACTTTGATGATACTATCTTTTGTTGTCAATATCACAAAGTATAGGAAAACATTTGATGTCATAAAAAGAGACAAGAGTTACATGGAGAAATCAACAAACATTTCCCTAAATGTACCCATTCAAGCTCTGAATTCAAGGGGTCAATGCCTTTTGCTTCTCTTCAAAATGTCTTGAAAATCCACAAGTTTTCATTTCCAAATAGGTGGATTTTATATTTCTATTTCTTTTATATTTTCAAACAGGGATCCATTTGTGATGACTTCATGGTGACCCTTTTCTGTCCTCAATGTTCTCTTTGCCAAATCAAGAGAGATATCAACAGAAGGAGAGCCATGCGTACTTTCTGAAAAAAATTAATGGTAGGTCCCCAAATCTGTGAATGCTTAGAAATATAATTACGAGCTTTTTATATTACAACAATTCTTTAAGTCTCTTATATGTTATCTTAATATAAAAATTGATTTTGATTTCTTTTTATGAATAAGATAGCTGGACTAGCTTGCTTTGACATAAATCACAGCAATATTTCTCCCAAACCAGGTCCTAGAGTAATAGGAATAAAAGCAAAAATAAGCAAATGGGACATAATTAAACTTAAAAGCTTTTGCATAGCTAGGGATACCAGCAGCAAAATGAAAAGACAACCTACAGAATGGGAGAAAATATATGCAAATGATGTGACTGACAAGGGACTAATTTCCAAAATATACAAACAACTCTTACAGCCTAATTTAAAAAACAAGAAACCCAATAAAAATTTTAGGACAGAAGACCTAAATAAATCTCTCCAAAGAAGACATCCAGATGGTCAACAGGCACATGAAAGGATGCTCGACATTGCTAATTATCAGAGAAGTGCAAATCAAAGCTACAATGAAGTATCACCTCACACCAGTCAGAATGGCCATCATTAAAAAGTCCATAGTGGGGAGGGTATAGTGATAGAGCACATGCCTAGCAGGCATGAGGGCCTGAGTTCAATCCCCAGTACCTCCATTAAAAAACAAATAAACCTAATTACCTCCCCCCTCAAAAAAAAAACAAAAACAAAAACAAAATTTTAACACAAAAAAGTCTACAAATAATAAATGCTGGGGAAGGTGTGGAGAAAAAGGATCCTCCTACACTATGGAGTTCGGAATATAAATTGGTGCAGCCACTATGGAGGACGTATAGAATTTCCTTAAAAAACCAAAAATAGACTTACCCTATGATCCAGCAATCCCATTTCTAGGCATATATCTGGAGAAAACTATAATTGGAAAAACACATGCATCCTAGTGTTCACAGCAGCACTATTTACAACAGCCAAGACATGGAAACAACCTAAATGTCCACTGACAGATGACTGGATAAAGAAGATGTGAGACACACACACACACACACACACAATGGAATATTACTCAGCTATAAAAATAATAAAATAATGCACTTGCAACAACATGGATAGAACTGGAGGTTGTCATTCTAAGTGAAGTAAGCCAGAAAGAGAAAGAAAAATACCATAGGATATCTTTTATATGTGGAATCTTAAAAAAAAAAAGGCACAAATGAACTTATTTACAAAACAGAAACAGATTCAAACATGGAGAACAAACTTATGGTTACCAGAGGGGTAAGAGGGTAGGAAGGGATAAACTGGGAGTTCAAGATTTGCAGATACTAACTACTATGTATAAACTAGGTACACAACAAGTTTATACTGTCTAGCACAGGGAACTATATTCAGTATCTTGTAGTAACCTACAATCAATTAGAATATGAAAAGGAATATATGTATGTATATCTATGACTGAAGCATTATGCTGTGCACCAGAAATTGACACAACATTGTAAACTGACTATATTTCAATTAAAGAAATAAAACAAACAAACAAACAAACAAACTTAATTACCTCTCCCCACCCCCCCAAAAAAGAACCTTTCTTTCTAATGTTCTTCTGGGCTTCCCACCAGTTAAAACTATCAAGAAGGCAGAAGGCAGGACAGCATTGCTGGCCTCCACAGGTCAGCCTCCCAGGGCACCAGGCAGTGCGGACAAGGGTAGAAATGGATTGGATGGGGCAAACAGGAGATTTCTGATGCAAGGTGTGATTTTAATAAATAGAAGTGGGTTTTACTTCTTATCAGCAACATTAGTGAACTACAGAAGCCAAAAAAGGGGAAAACATCTGTGTGAGCTTAGTTCAAATCTGGTAGGAACAGATGATCTAGGTAGGAAAAGAATGAGAAGTGAAAGCTTTCTAAAAGTGAGCTGGGGCCTTGGTGTATCATGTAGTGGATACTAGGCTGATGACTTGGCCTTTTATTTGGTGAGCATTGGGGAGGCTTTAAGTAAGGGAGTGACATGTGCGCAGCTATACTGTAGAAAATTAATCTGATAGTGAATATTCAAACGGACTGGACAGGATGAGGTCAGAAGTAAAGATGTGGCCGTACACCATTTCAATATTTGTTTATTTAAATAATCACAGAGACAATTTGGATAAAAGATCTACTCACACATACATAATAACAAATCCTGGCATTGGAGCTTTTTTTTTAAACTTGAGAAAATTACCTTACTGATTTCTGAACTGGTTTGAAGTAAAATACCTTGGTGACCCTAAGGCCTGCTCATCAACTCAGACCCTACATTATTCACTGACAACAGAGCTTTAGATCCTCAAATAAATCCTCAAATATCTGAAACGGGAGAATCAAGAGACCAAGATCAAACCAAAACGTGGTTTATGTTAAAATTTAAAAAAAAAGATTGAGACAAAGAGATACAGGTACCAACTGAAAAAGTTCCCAATAGCCAAAACTGGAACAATCTGAGCAACAAAATAAGGTAGTATTGGGTTAAAATCAACTCAGATTATAAAATAAATATCTGTAAATCCATACTGATATAAATACCTGATTAAATACATAAATAGAGGAGAATAGACAAATCTCCCAGGAGTACAGGATTCCAAATAATTTATGTAGGTACTCCTCCCTCAAGGAGATGGAGTGTAATTCCCCACCCCTTAAGTGTGGGTTTGCAGAGCAACTGCCTTTCAAAGAGTGTAGTATGCAAAGGGCGAGGGAAAGAGTAACCTCATGGTGGAGAAACCCCACAAAACTACCTCAGGCAACTAACATCAAAGTCAACATCATCGGTGGTGTCCTTGAGAGCAAGTACCCCTGAAATGATGTGATGAATTGACGCATCACCTCTGTGATCGTCCTCGCAAAACCCCACAACTCTAGTCTCACCAGGGGCAAAACATTACACAAACAAAAATTGAGGTCCATTCTATAAAATATGTAACCCATACTCCTCAAAACTGTCAAGGTCGTTGAAAATAAGTAAGGTCTGAGAAACTATCACAGTTTGGAGGAGCCTAAGGAAACATGGTGACTAAAGGTAACATGCTATCTGGATGTGATCCCGGAACAGCAAAAGGAAATTAGGTAAAAACTGAGGAATGTAAATAAAGGATCGGCTTAGATTAAAAACAATCTATCGACACTGGTTCATTAGTTGTGATAAACCTACTAAAGTAAGATGTTAACTAGTATAGAAACTGGTGCAGGGTATATGGGAACTCTCTGTACAATCTTTGCAACTTTTCTATAAATCTAAAGTGATTCTAAAATTAAAACTTTATTAAAAATAAAAAAGTCACCTGAGGAAATTTAACCCTATTTTTTGTGTGTCCCTTATAGGTGAAGAGCTTTTTTTAAAATCCTTTTTCCTGTGGTCTCTCTTGACCTGTTGAAGAGCACTTACTGAAGCAGCTAAAATCAGCTCCACACCTCTTCAGCTTGCATGTTTCTCCACTCTTGCAACTGAAGTATAATTGATATGTTTAATCACAATCAGTGGGGTTAAAAATATAGAACTTTGGTTTCTTTTACAGGAATACTGTCCTTTAGTGATGCTAAATGATCCAGCTTGGTTTCTCCTTGCTATTAAATTTTCTGGCTTATAAATTTTGTATTACATTTAAAGTATCAGTCAAATAAAATATTTTACTAACTCAATTCTTTGTGCTTCTTTGCTTTCAATAAAATGTCTTTATGTTATTACTGAACTTCAAGGGTCAGTCTCATAATTTTGTTCTCATAGTTTGGTTTCCTAACAGGAGATTTTGATTCACAGCAACTCAGCTCTCTTTCATCTAAGAAGTTTAAGAGAGAGAAAGAAAGACTACAGGTAACTATTCTAAGACGCTTAAGATACCATCAGCCAACACGGTTGCTCTTTTTCATGTTATCTACGAACACTGCTAATGCTGACAAAACAACAATGCACTGTGCTCTGTTTCCCAACTGCATATCTGATGGTTTTGTTATTACGTTATTGATTTTTTTCTCTTTTAAATATGAAGCATCAGACCAAGTAATAAAAACTCAGTTCTCAAATTTAATGACTCAATTTTGCTTAGTGATGGATACATGTGTGAAGCAATATGTTTTTGCATATTTCTTATCCTATTTGATCCTCTGCAACATTTTGCCCTGATGAAAGTCTCACTTTCTAATTTTCTTTCACTCTCCTCCTACATACACTTCTGAATCCATTTCATTTGTTGGAATGGGGGTGGTGAGGGAATTACCTACTGTAAGCAGATATTTCACTATAAGTACACCGTGAAATTTCAATGAGATAAAATGTAAAAGCTCCTGGAACTTAATAGGCACTCAACAAAGTAGAGCACTTTGCGCCTTCATTTACTTGCCTTCTAGGTGTAGATGCTTTGCAAGGTTCTATCCTGAGTCCACTCCTTTCACACCTCATGTTCTTCTTAGTGTCATCTACTCCCATGGCTTCAAATGCCTTCTGTGTGCCAAGGAGGACTGTATTTCTAGTTTCTCCCTTGCTATTAATCTTCAGAATGTCCCTTCGTTTGCCTACTAGACAAGTCAGTCTGGATGACCCCATACCTTCTCTACCTAACAGATCAAACGATACCACCACTCAGTTGTTCAAGGTGATATATCTAGATATTAATGAAACCTGAATTGTCTCATCACACCCTACTCCCTTCTCCTCACATCTAACCAGACACCAACTTCTGTCCCTTAAACTCCGCTTGATACCCCTAGTGGGTGATCTGTTTGTTGCTGTATCTGCAGTGCCTAGAACAATGCCTGACACCTGGCAGATACGTCCTCAAATTACTTTGTGAATGAATTAATCTGTCCTCGCCTCTTTCTTCCCATTGCCACGGATATAGTCCAAGCCCTCATTATGCCTTTGGAGAACCACACTCATAGCTCCTGAACTAGTTTCTCTGCCTCTAGTAAATCCAGTTCCCACTGCATTCTCTCCAATCCATCCTATACACTGCATGTCACGAGTAAATTGTGAACATTCTAAAAAATTTTCTTTGGTCCTTCACAATGTAACCTCAATTTACCTCTTTAGCCTATTCTGACATTTTTCACTCTCAAAATTCCTTATTTTCCCTGCTTTCAACACACATACTTTTTAAAAACAATTTCAAATCCCGACTGTTCATTGTTATATATGTGTAGAAAAGCAATCAATTTTTGTCCAGGATTTTTTTTCTGATTCCTTGGGATTTTCTACATAGACAATCATGTCAGCTATGAACAAGGACAGCTTTATTTCTTCCTTCCAAATCTGTGTAAGTTTAATTTTCTTTACTGGTCTTACTGCATTACCTAGGACTTCCTGTGCAATGTATAATAATACCCTTTATAATCCTTCTACTCTTTATGAGATCTGTAGTGAAGGCCCCTTTCATTTTTAATATTAGTAATTTGTACCTTCCCTTTTTATCTTAGCTTGGCTACTTACAAATATTATTGAAATTTTCAAAGAACCAGATTTTGATTTCACTGATTTTACCAACTTCTTGTTTTCAGTTTCACTAATTTATGCTCCGAACTACTCTTAATTTTTATTATTTCTTCTCTTCTACCTACTTTGGATTTATTTTTCAAGCTTCTTAACATGAAAGCTAAAATTATTGACTTTAGATCTTTCTTCTTTTCTACTATATGCAGTTTTCACTGCATCTCACAGATTTTGGTTAAGTTGTATTTTCAGTTTCACTTGGTTCAAAATATTTTAAAATTTCTTTTGAGATTTTTCTTTGACCCATCCTTTCTTCAGAACCATGTTGTTTAATCTCCAAGTATTTGGGGATTTTCCAGTATCTTTCTGTTACTTCTAGTTTCATTTCATTGTGGTCAGAGAGCAAACATTTTATGATTTCTATTCTTTTCAGTGTGTTTTATGGTCCAGGATGTGGTCTACCTTGGCGAATGTTCTACATGAGCTTGAGAAGACTGTGTTCTCTGTTACTGTTGGATGAAGGGGTTTAGAAACATCAGTTAGATCCTGTTGATTGACAATACTGTTGAGTTCAACTGTGTCCTTATCAATCTGAATCTGTCCATTGCTGACAAAGGGTGTCAAAGTCTCCGGGTACAATAGTGGATTCATCTATCTCTCCTTCTAGTTCTATCAATTTTTGCCTCATGTATTTTGACACTCTGTTGTTGATGTTCTGTTTTTAATTGAGCATTTTATGATTTCATTTTCTGTCCTCTCTTAGCATATCAATTATATTTCCTTTTTAAAATTTTATAGTAGTTACCCTAGAGTTTGCAGTATACATTTACAATTAATCTTAATTACAATTAAGCCCATGTTCAAATAACATTATACTGTTTCATGGGTAGTGCAACAATGTATTCTTAGAATATTCCCAATTCCTTCCTTCCATCATTGTCATTTATTTCACTTATCCATGTGCTATAATCATCCAAAAACTGTTGCTATTATTACTACAAACAAAGTTAATCTATTAGACCAATGAAAAATAAGAAAAAGAAAGTATTTTACCTTCACTATCTCATCTCTGAAGCTCTTCCTTCCTTTTTGTAGATCCTGAGTTTCTAACCTATACCATTTTCCTGCTCTCTAAATTTCCTTCCCTCTAGCATTTCCTTTTAATTCTTAAGTTTAATCTCTCTGCTTACATTATTCATCTGTTCTTGCATGTTGTCTACCTTTTCCATTAGAGCCCTTAGCAAATTAATCATAGCTGTTTTAAATTCCTGTTCTGAGAATTCCAACATCGCTGCCATATCTGAATTTGGTTCTTACGCTTGATTTGCCTCTTCAAATTGTGTTTTTTCCGGCTTTTATCATCCCTTGCAATTTTTTGGTTGAAGGCCAGATGTGATGTTTCAGGAAATATGAACTGAGGCAATTAGGCTTTTAATATAAGATTTTAGGGTAATTTTGGTAGAAGCCAGGCAGCACTTAATGTTTTCTGTAGCTGTAAATGACAGAGGCTTCTATCCTCCGTTTTCCTTGCTATGTCTTCTTCCCTGTAGTGTTGTGTTCCCCTAAGAATTCTTTCTTAAACAGTCAGTCTTGGATCTCTCAGTCATAATCCACCGCACCGATACCGTACTGGAACTCTGTTGTTGTGGTGGAAGGGTACTTGGTAAGCATTCAATAATTTTACAATTAAATCTGTTTTTTATTTGGCCCAAGTCCCTGGGCTGTGACATCAGAGGTGTTTCTTATCCTTTTTTTTTTTTTCTCTTCTTCCATGATACAAGAAGACTAAAGAGGGCTGAAATGTTCTAACTGGCTTTTCCCCAGATCAGATAAGGCTCTGGTAACTTCCTTTAGAGGACAGGACTTTATCACGGAAAATGATCTAGGTGTATTTCAGGACAGTTCCTTTTTCCTCCCCAGCTGCCTGAAATACAAGAGGATCCCTGATCTTAATCATGAGAACCTGATGGGGTTCCTGGAGGTAAATCCTAGAAAGTGTAGGGGTTCCCCTAAGAGTGGGCCCTCAGGGGGTTTTAACTGTCCACCTAGTCCACAGTCAGCCTCCAGTATTTTGCCAAAGTTACCATTTCACTATGTATATCAGTTATCGGTTCAAGGAGGTCTGCTCCTGGTAAGCTGATCTCTATTCTAAATCTATTCACCTGTCTCTCCACTTTCAGGAGTGGTGGTTTGCCTTGTGACCTCAATTCTGTGATGGATCTAAGACAAGGCATGATTTTTCAGTGTGTTCAGCCTTTTTCTTGTTGTGAGAATGGAGTTATGACTTCAGCTCTTTACATGTTGGAGCTGAAACTGGTAGTCACCTACAAACTCTTTTTTTTTAAGTCTTTCCTCATTTTCTCTATAAAGTTAGGCTGAAATAATCGTCTCAGAGGAGCCCTCCCTGACCTCTCTCTGCCAAATGAAAAGCTCCTCCCTGTGTGCTCCAGTACTTGTACAGCTACAAGTATTACACATGTTGTCTACTGGCTCTGTGAGTCTGTGAACGCCTGGAGAACAGGCATTACGGCGGCTCATCTTTGCATTTCTTGCATATAGTATAAACAATCGTCTACTGAATTGAAAGGAAAAAGGAACAAAATACTGTTCACTAATTAAAAACAAAGTACTACTTTTATTCAGCTCACTTCTCCATTTATTAGAATAACCACATCTGGAGAGGCACAAAGCACTTAAGTTTACATGACTACAAAGTTATCACAAATCCCAAACTTTTTAGCCACAGATATTTCACTTATTCTGTTTAAAGAAAAAGCTTTCAAAACATCTGAGTTAGCGTTGAAACACAGAGACCCCGAATATATGGGAAATACATATTTTCACTTCCTGCTCTAATAATGTTTTCTTTAAATAGAATCCAGCATAAAAGGGATTGAAATATGTAAGGTCATGATGCAAATGCTTTGGAGAAATAGTGAAATTAATCTGTACAACACGGAAAAAGATGTAGTGCGCACAGAAGGTCTGCAAGGCCTCACTGAGCCATCTGGGCTTCCATGGCTTGTGCTGTCCATTCTGGTGCTGTCTGACTAATTTTCTCCAAAAGGTTATTCACTTGGAAACAAAGCGACTGGATCTGTTTGTCCCATGTTGGCAGGGCTTCTCGTGCTAAAGAAAAAGGAATAACGTACAAAGTTGAAATTATTCCTCTATACCATAGAGAATGTGAGTTAAAAGATAAATACAGAAGCACTGATTTTTAACAGTTTACTCCAAAAATCGTGGCTAATAAAATTAAGCTAA